CATCATGTTATATATTTTTGCTCAAAACAGTCATATATTAAAGAAATTAGTCCAGCCGGTGTGGCTCAGTGGTTGAGCGTCAACCCATGCACCAAGGGGTCGCCGGTTCAATTCCTGGTGAGGACACATGCTCAGGTTGTGGGCCAGATTGCCAGTGTGGGGGTATGCATGAGGCGGCCAATTGATGTTCTTTCTCATTGATGTTTCTATTTTTCTCTGCCTCTCATTTCTTCTCTCTCTAAAATAAATAAAGGAAAAAAAATTAGCTTTTTATATCTATCTAGATATTTACCATTTCCAATGTTCTTTGTTTCTTCCTAGAGATTTGAGTTTCCATCTGAACTTACTTTATTTCAGCCTGAAAACTTTCTTTAACTTGTAACACTGGTCTTGGGTAGCAAATTCTTAGTTTTCTTTGGTATCTAAGTATCTTTATTTTGACTCTATTCTTTCTATTTTCTATTTTTATTTATTTTTTGACATCTTTATTGTGGGATAGTTTACATACCATAAAATTCATTCATTTTCAATGGATAATTAAATTATTTTTGTGAATTTACAGAGTTATAACACAGATTGCATATGATCTGCAAGTCAAAAATGCTCTTTGGCCCTGGAAAAGTTTGCCAATCCCTGCTCAAGTCTCTTGGCCATCAGCAGCGATGGCCTGTTTTAGAATACAATTTTTATTTTAAGTATGAAGAAGGAAGATTTATTTCTGTAATCCCACCACCCAGAGATAGCCCCTGTATAAACTTGAAATTCATTTTTTTATTCAAATACATATTTTCTTAAATAATGACAGAGTTATATTGTACATCACCCTTTAGGAGTTGCTTTTTCACTTAATTATCATGACCATCATTCTGTGCCAGTTAATTAGTAGAATACATTTTCACACCATTTATGAAAACTGTTAAATAGGTGGCGTAAAAACGCTGCCCTGTCAGAGCACCTAATTCCGAGAAGTGGTGCAGCTCCAGAAATCTCCCCACCGCGGCCCTGCTCACTGCCTTCTCAGCTCGTGTTCTGATCACAGCTTTGGCAGTGACCCTGTGAAGGACGGAGCTCTCTGTTACAAATGCTCGACAAAAAAAAGGGATATTGTCTTTATAGTTCAGACTGTCCCAGGCCACAGAGACCTGGCCTAATTTTCTAAATATGATTTGGAAAAATTACTCCAAATAATGAGAAAAACCATAAAAAGAACTTTTTTTTTTTTTTTTTTTTTTGCAAGATTAAGTGCTGCAGATTGCTAGCAAGTTCAAAATCCATTCCTTAGGTAGAATGCAGCCCATTTTCTTGGTATGGGAAAATGGGACGTATTAATTTTAAAGTCATCAGGCGTGCCCTGGCCGGTTTGGCTCAGGTGTTGGAGCATCGGCCTGCGGACCAGAGAGTCCCGGGTTCGGTTCCCACTAGGAGCACGTACCAAAAAGTAAAAAAAATAAAGTCATCAGGCGTATAAAGGAAAATACCAGCTAGATAGTCCTGGTTCAAGTAATTGAGAACACAGATTCATTTTAAGCCTGTTATACGGAATAGCAATATTATGTTATTTTGACCTGACAAGATCTTACAGAAATTTTCAGCCAAATTCAAGAGTAATTTCCAACAATGAGAAAGAAAGGGCGGAACCATGTTATTATCTATGTTAAGTGAGAAAAGAAAGGATTGAAAGGTAAACATGCCTTTTATTTTTCCTCTTCTGACTGCTACCTAGAGGACAGCCCTGACTCCCAGCACACATGTGGCTTCGTTCCAAAAATATGCAGCTTTCCTTTAGTTGTGAAGAGAGTAACAGTTGAATTAGAGGTATTATTCATAGCCTCTCTTTAACTCAATCATTTATCAGTTTTCTAATTTATTTTTATTTTTTGGCAAATGCACAAATAATTTAGATATAATAAAAGTACATGCAACTTGTTTATATTAAAAATTTGTAATGAAAATATTTTTTCATTGTTTTTTTAATTGGAGGTTAGTGGTATATCATTAATGATTTAAGATTATAGGGTTGGCTTTTGCCATATACCTTTGTGATAAAATAGACTTGCAAGACAATTAAAGCAAAACAAAATACTGCAAACTTATTTATATGTGGAATCCAAAAACAATGTGAAACTCAGAAACAAAGTAGAAAACGATTGCAGGGACTGGAAGGTGGGGAAATGGGGAGAGGATGGTCATAGGGTACAAACTTTAAGCTAAGATGTATGAGGTCTGAGGGTCTAATGTAAAACATGGTGACTATAGTTGATAACACTGTTTTATTATATCATTGAAATTTGCTAAGATAAGTAGAACTTAATTGGTGTCACTAAAATTAACTAACTAAGTAAATAAAGCGATGGATGTGTTAATTACCTAGATGGTGGGAATCACAATGTATACATATATCGAATTACCACAGTATACACTTTAAATATTTTACAATTTTGTCGATTATACCTCAAGAAAGCTGAAAGAACAAAATGCAAAAACTATAATATTTAATGCTTCTATTTTATGAATTGTTCCATTTGACTGGTTTAGAGGAGACTAGCTTTGTCCTCATTTAACATCTTTATTCTTGGCTAGTTGTTTAAATGTTTTATTTTTTTTTAATATTCTCCTTGCATATAGTGGGTACCCAGTAAATGTTTTTGAAGGAATGATGAATCAGATAACCCATATAATATACAAACTTTGCCTATTTTCTCTATAAAAACAACTTTAAGAATAGTGGCATTGCTTTTATTAGAAATATAATGGAATGAGAAAGGACAGAATTAAAACTCATACTTTCATTGGAGGAAATCATTTGAGTGAAACAAATTTGATTTTTGCTTGATCTTCACAGGGGTGTCTTTGAAATGAGAATATAAAAAACACCGTAAAAGAACCATGTGAATTCAGATAAAAGGCCACATTTTTACTGAGGTCATCAGGATAGGTGGTGGCCTCGGAGCTGAATTTTTATTTTACTGGAGAATTCTGGTCATTAGTGTGTAGTTCATGTTCTTCCAAAGTTTTCCCCTGGCCCCTCTGCCTGGCTTTATTATATTGCTAACCACACTTTACTGTAACTATGTACTTGTCTGCTTCCTCCACTAGGTGGTCCGGGCAAGAGCTGTAACTTTTATTTATCTGGTTGACCCTCAGATGTAGAGGATTGTATTAAACTTACTCTCTTTTGTGGCACATGGATCTGGGCCAATCCCAACTCCTGTTTTCATTCACTTGTTTAATTGTATGTCTATTTCCTTTACTACCTATCTCCTCCTTTCATTCTCTTTTCTCCTTAGGTCACCACTGTGATGCGCTTAATGTGTGTACTTTTATTTTATAATAAAAGTATTTTATACTTTTATTTTTTTTCTTATTGATGTTAGAGAGAGAGGAAGGGGGAGGGAGAGAGAAATAGAAACATCGATGAGAGAGAACATTGATTGGCCGCCTCCTGCATGCCCCACACTGGGGATCTGGCCCTCAACCTGGGCATGTGCCCTGACCAGGAATCTAGCCGGCCACCTCTTTGTGCATGGGTCAACACTCAATCCACTGAGCCACATCAACCGGGCTATACTTTTATTTTATGTTTTTGAAAAATTGTGTGTCCATGTATTTTTAAACTGCATAAGTTGATGTTACATGTTAGTCTGTTTCTTACTTTCATTTTTAAGCACATATATTTAAGGTGCTTCCGTGTTGCCCTGTGTGCACATGTAATTTGTGTCTAGCTGCTGGAAGTGCCCTATGGTATGTGATCACCACATGTCCCCAGTCCACTTCAGAAGCCTTCTGTATCTGTATCCCCGGCGCTTAGCACAACAGATTATACATAACTGTTTGCTTGGTGAATGAGTGAATGTGTGAATGATTTTTGAAGGTGCTTAGTAGGGGGAAAATCCAGGTAGAAGGGGCAGCAAGAGGGAGACCTGGGAGTGCAGTCAGTGTTTGAGGGAATCTGGAGTTGGCATTTCTGTGACGTGTGCAGGTAGGGAATGGTGGGACGGCCGAGGAAGAAGGTTGCCTGCATTGTGGGAGGTTTCAGTGAAGGACAGATAATCAGGGGATATGTAGAGATATCTAATGTGCACATATAATTAGGGCACATGAGGAAAATAACCTATAAATCTGTTTGCAAGGTGTAGTTGTAATGTCAGAGAACATAGAGAATACAACATTTGAATCCGTGGTCTTTCAATACAGTAGTCTACCCATGCTTTGGATGTGCTTCAAATATTTCTAATTTTCCTCTCATAACTGACTGGGGATTTACTAAAATGTTTGGTTTTATCCTTGTGCCCTCTTCTCCTGCAGCTTTTTTTTTTATCCTCACCTGAGGACATTTTTCCATTTTTTTATTCAGATAGAGCGAGGGAAAGAGAGGAAGAGAGAGAGAGAAATATTGATGTGAAAGGGACATATCAAGTGACTGCCACCCACACGACCCAACCAGGGCCGGGGACAACAGCAACTGAGGTACATGCCCTTAGTGGGAACCGAACCCGGGTCTCTCTGGACCACAGGCCGACACTCTAACTGCTGAGCCAAACTGGCCAAGGTGCTCTCCTGCAGCTTTTAAACAAATTACCTTCTTGATCAGCAGGTAGCCAAATGACATTTAGAACTAAGAAGTTTCTCCCTGGCTGGTTTGGCTCAGCAGTTAGAGTGTCGGCCTGCAGTGCAAAGGGAACCCAGGTTTGGTTCCCTCGGTTGCAGTTTGTCCCCGGCCCCAGCTGGGTCAGGACCGTGTGGGAGGCAGCCACTCGATGTGTCCCTTTCACAACGATGTTTCTCTCTCTCCCTCTCTCTCCCTCCCACTCTATCTGAACAAAAAATGAAAAAATGTTCTCGGTGAGGATAAAAAAAAAATGTTTAAGAAGTTTGCCCATTGATAAAGATTTCCAAGACTAATGGAGCAGAGAAACTTGAAAGAATTAAACATAATATGTGTGAGGAAATAAACTAGAAGAATGTCTACTGAAGAACATGTTCCCCCCTTTTTTTTCCAGATTAATGTGTGGAAAACAAAGCTTAATGATGACTTGCCCTCCCCCCTCCACCAGGTGGAAGTGTGGCTCCGGGAGGTAGAGGAGCTAGCAGATGCCAACCCTCCAGCCTCCCAGGACTACTATGAAGCCATAGCTCTAATGGAAGAGAAAAGGGCTTCATTCACGGTCAGAAAAGAAGAAAGACACATGGAAAAATCTATACTTTGTTAGGACGGTTCTTGAGAGAAACTTTCTCCTAGCAGAAAGGGAAGGAAATAGTGTGGATATTTGAGGATGGTTTAGAATTGTTCCCTTGGGGATATATGGGACCTGGAAGATACCTTCACATTCTGCATGAGCATTGTGCTAGTTTACGGTGAAAACAGTAACAATAGAGTCAGTGAGTTCTAAAGCTACAGAAAGTCTGAGAAAAAAAGGGGGGGACACTGGTTTAAAATGTGGGGGATTGGGTTTTCACCAAGATAGCATGAAGAATTTGGTATATGAGATTTATAGCATTTGAGCACATGAAGGAATGGAAAATACATCCAAAAGCAAAAGATTTTAATAATACTTTCACCAAAGAAACTGCAGTCTGCCTCTCTGTAAAACTGGTCTAGTTTAAGACATTTATGATGAAAATATTTATTCACAAAATCTTAGTTAAAAAAAACTTTTTATGATTTTTTTTAAAAAAAGATGAAATGCATGAACAGAGCAAATGAGATGAACAAACCCTCAGTTACCATGTTTGGCAATAAATCTAGTTCATATCATGTTAAATTTCTTTTCAGAGTCTCATGGATAAATGTGACTGTCACTCAAACACTCTCCAGGCATTTGAAAATAGAGATGAAAACCAGTTGCCATTGGTACCAGCTTACAAATTGGAGGAAATGAAAAGACGGTCTGTAACACTACCCCTCACAACTCTGATAACCATTCCTGTTTGAGAACCAAATGGTGTAATAGGGACCAGCAAATAAGATATTCAGATAATTTGTGACAACTATTCTTTAAATCTTGATAACAGTACCTTCCTGTTTGATATAATAGTAACATAATAGTAACTAACAGACTTTCTCTTTTTTGAAAAATTTTTTTTCTTTATTGATTTTAGAGAGAGAGAAAGGAAGAGGGAGAGAGAGATGGAAACATCGATGAGAGAGAACATCGATTGGCTGCCTCCTGCATGCCCCCCACTGGGGATCAGGCCCACAACCTGGGCATGTGTCCTGACCAGGAATCGAAACGGCTACCTCTTGGTGCATGGGTCAATGCTCAACCACTGAGCCACACCAGCTTGACCAGACTTTCTCTTTTTATTGGATGGTAGGATGCGGTGGTAGAAAAAGTTCTGGACTTTCAGTTAGAAACCAAGCTCCAGCCCTGGCTGGTTTGGCTTAGCGGTTAGAGCATCGGCCTGTGGTCCAGAGAGACCCGGGTTTGGTTCCCGCTAAGGGCACGTACCTTGGTTACAGTTTGTCCCCGGCCCTGGTTGGGTCATGCGGGTGGCAACCGCTCGATGTGTCCGTTTCACGTTGATGTTTCTCTCTTTCTCTCTCCCTTCCACTCTATCTGAATGAAATATGGAAAAATGTCCTCAGGTGAGGATAGGAAAAAAAAAAAAGAAACCAAGCTTCATATACTGGTTTTAGCCAAGTCTGTCTTTCTGAGCATGTTTCCTCAATTGTAAATATAGGGTAATGATGATCAGCCTTTTCCTATCTCACAAGGACACTGAGTGAAATGGGAGGAGGTCCATGAAAGCACTTTAAAATAAACACTAATACTACAAATATAAAGATTATTTAATTAATGGTTGTCCACATCATCTTCTTTTTTCTCATTATTTATAAGTAACTTATTAGAATGATAATAAGGTATTTGCCTTAATGGAAACACTTTTTAATATGTAAATGTTGAAGTTATAGTTGCATTATGTTATACAGAACTTTTCAAATGTAAAATATTTTGGAGATTAACATTTTATGATAGGATTTTAATAGGATTATAATGTCTTCAGAAAATGCTGTTAGATGTTTTCACCTTAGAAATAGATTTTATATATCTAGCCACATTGTTTGTTTTATTTTATTTAAAAAAATTGAGGATGCATCTAAGTAACGTGTTTAAAAGGAAAAGCTAGAGCCCCAGTGTTTTTTAAAATGACACATAGCTCACATTTGGTCCATAATACTAAGTTAAATTCTAAAACCTGCACTATTTTCCAGAATCAACAATATTTCGGGGGAAAAATTCATTCCACTTCTAGAATTTCAGTACTATAAGTGCTCAGTCCTTGGTTTGCTAGATGAAGTGAAATCAAAATTGAATGTTTGGAACATCAAATATGGGAGCAAAGAATCTGTGGAATTACTTCTGGAAGATTGGCATGTAAGCTTAGAAAACTGTTCTCCATGTCTGTATGCTGGGTTTGCATTTTACTGGGCACATTTCCCTTGACCTTTCAGGTTTTCCGATGAGTTGTTGTTGTTTTTGTTTGTTTGTTTGTTTTGATAACTTCCATTAGTTTAAATGGAGAAAAGAATTACAGGTGGTTAAACCTCATGAAAGAGTAAGAGAGAAAAAGTGTTATTTACTACAACAGGGGAGATTGAGTTAACCAAGCAAATTCACATAATAAAGTTTCAATGTGATTTCCATGAAAAACTTCTATTTTCACTTAGTGGGCATCTTATTTAATATTTTTTTTCCCACCCAGATAAATGGTTTTATCCAAATATTATTTTTTCTCTTAGAACATTTTAATCTTAGCCTTTCAGTTTTTTGTTTTTTTTTTTGTTTTTTTAGTTCTTTCTGTTTTCTTTTCTTCTTTTGCTCAATTTAGCCTTTCAGTTTTAAGGGTGGGAAAAACAGTACATTTTTCATTGAGGCCTTTTTTAGGAGACGGCTTAGCTCTTGAAATCTATAGGCGAAAATGTTGCAAATGATTTAAATGTAAGTGTGGTCATTAGTAAATTAAAACTAAAGTACCCTAGGAATATTTCTACAATCAGGCCTTATCATTGTGCTTTTTTTTTGAAATGGGGGTGGGGGAGACAAAAAGAAAAATCCAAGGTTGTAAATTTAATTGCAAAAACTGAAAAGCATGAAGAGAGATTTGTTTTTAAATATGTTTTAAACACTGTACATTCTCAAATAGAGAGCATTATTTTAAATTAGACTTGACTTTGCATATTTTTCATTCATTTGATTATTCATTTTTCCATTTAAATCATGTAATCACTACGTAATAAGTGTACAATAAATATCAGTTGTTAATTAACTTTGTATTTTTACGTAGCATAATTTGCTTATATAGGACATATAATTTAGTTATAAGTAATTGTAATTTCTCATATGTTTTTGCAAGATGGATGGTATCTATTTGTAACATTCTAATATATATGTAAATAAAAATTAATATTAATAAAAATACGTGAAACAGGAGAAACTAATATAAATTATGCAATATTAGTAAATATGTCAGGTAGGAGATTTTGAAATTGCTATAAATACTTAACATGCCTTTTCCCACTAGAGGAAAACCATTAATGAACCACATCACCACATTAAGATAAACTTTTCAGGTTTTATACCTATATAATGTTCATACTCATGTTTACATCTCCTAGAACTTAACTCTCTTCATCAACTATGCTTCTTTCCCTACCCAAAGGTAGGGACTAACATTAGTTAGTCCCTAAGTGTTTCATCAATGTTTATATGTTTATATCTGGATTTCTTGGCACATTTTAAAAAGTATAAACTGTCAATATGTTTTTTTCCTCCCCCCCAGAAATTTATTGAAGAAGAAGAATTCCTAGCTCAACTTGAAACTTCTTTTAAAAAATGTGAAGAAATTCATAAGAATTTAGGTAAAGCTATAGTTACTTTTTTGATGGAATGCTAACTTAAAAATAGCATTTTATCTCTTTCACTTTCTTTATATCTTAATATTTTATTTTTTTATCTTAATTTTTTTTATTAATTGATTTTTAGAGAAAGAGGAAGGGACAGAGAGAGAGAGAAACATCAATCAGTTGCCTCCCATACTTGCCCTGACTTAGGATCAAACCTGAAACCTAGGTGTGTGCCCTGACTGTGAATTGAACCCGAAACCCTCTTGGTGTATGGGACAATGCTCCAAACCAATTGAGCCACCTGGTCAGGGCTACGTTAATGTGCTATGTGCACGTGTTCTTTGGAAAATTCTTATATTTACTTTTTTTTTTTTTAATTGATTTTAGAAAGAGAGGAAGGGAGAGGGAGAGAGAGAAATATCGATGAGAGAGAACATTGATTGGCTGCCTCCTGCATGCCCTCCACTGGGGATCGGGCCCACAACCTGGGCATGTGCCCTGACCAGGAATTGAACCAGTGACATCTTGGTGCATGGGTCGATGCTTAACCACTGACCCACACCGATCGGGCTTGTATTTACTTTTAATATTGTCAGAGTACATATTTATTTTGCCACTGTTGATATGCAAATAGTTTTCTTAACAGCATTTTATTAATAAAAAACTTTTCTAAAATTACTTTTTGTTTTAACATTATAGGTAGAGAATATCAGAATATGCATGAACAATATATGATGATGGAACATAATATTTCTGCATGTAGAGAAAGCATATATAATGTGAAGTCTACGCTGCAAAAAGTTCTGGCATGCTGGACTACTTACACGGAAAAACTTCGCTTCCTAAAGGCTTGTTTTGAGGAGACAAAGAAGAAACAAATTACAGAGGTATTTGCAGTCTAAATAGCACCTGCTCAATTGTACTTTTTTGTTTTGTTTGGAGATCCTCATTTTCACTCCAAAAGTTAGATGCCAGGGAAGAGTAAGCGCAACTATTGGGAAATTCTCCAAGGTCTGGAAAGAGTGTATTTTCTTTCTAATAAAACTGCCAAAGGAAGTCTTCTCCTCATTTTAGGTTTGAAACACACACACACACACACACACACACACACACACACACACACACAGAGCTTAATTGCGGTATCATTTACATACACAGTAGAGCTTTTGGAAGATATATTACTACATTTGTTGAAAGAAAAGACTTGGAGTACTGGATATCATATAGACATTTAAAATAAATAGATGTTTGAAAAATAATTTTTCTATTCAGTACTTTTCCTTTTTATTTAATTTATTGGAGTGACACTGGTTAACAAAATTAAACAGATTTCAGGTGCACAATTCCACAGCACATCATCTGTACACTGTGTTTTGTATTCACCACCCCAAGTCAAGTCTCTGTCCACCACCATTTACCCCCATCCCCTGCCCCAACAATTACCACACTGTTTTTTGTGGCCATGCTTTTTTCTCTTTTTCTTTTCTGCTAAATTCTTTTACCCCCTCCATTCAATACTTTTGAGCTCTAAAACTGAGTTGTGTTTTTTTTTTTATCCTCACCGGGGACATTTTTGCATGTATCTTCAGATAGAGCGGGAGGTATAGAGGGAGGAAGAGAGAGAGAGAGACATCGATGTGAGAGAGACACATGGAGTGGTTACCACCCACACGACCAAAACTGGGACCTGGAACAAACTGCACCTGAGGTACGTGCCCTTAGTGGGAACCGAACCTGGGACTTTCTGGTCCATAGGCTGACGCTCTAACCACTGAGCGAAACTGGCCAGGGCAAACATTTCTGAGATTCCAGAGGAGGAAAATCAAACTACCTCAGACTTCTGTGGAGAGATGTGGAAGAAATTTTAGTGTAAGTTATTATTATTTTCATTTGCTATTCCCATAACAATCTGCCTTATGATTATTCTCTAAATACTTTTTTTTCTTTTATTTAATTTCCTCTGTTGCAAATGAATATAGATAGCCTCTCAGACTAAATAATTTCCAGGTAGAGACTAAAATTACTTAACACAAAATAGACTGTTTACATGACAGTAAAATTTGTATAAATGTGTGAGTACAAAGAATATTTGAGCCCAGCCGGTGTGGCTCAGTGGTTGAATGTCAACCTATGTACCAAGAGGTTGCTGGTTCCATGGCATGAGCCCCGGTTGCGGGTCTGGTCCCCAATGGGGGGCATGTAGGAGACGGCCAATCAATGTTCTCTCTCATCAGTGTTTCTATCTCTCTCTCCCTCTCCCTTCTTCTCTCTGTAACATCAATAAAGAAAAAAATTTATTTAAAAAAAAGAGTCTTTGAAGGGTTAGTGAGACATTACTTTTCCTTGTCACCCATAGTAAGACTAGAAAAGCACATTTTTGGCTTCAGCGGTTTTTCTGTTTTTAAAGTTTTTTCATTAAAATTCTCATAACTCTGAGCAAAATGACACTTTAAGCCTTGCAGTTCCTAAACTCTGTGCCAAGGTGCTGTGGCTGCCAAAAAGACTTCTTTAAAATTAAAAAAATATTTTAATTTAAAGGTAATTTAAATTTTAAGGGAGACACAACAAGACTTGTCTGTTCGACATTATGCAAATTACTACTGAGATATTTGGACCTGACTACTGAAAAATGAGATTTTTTTTTTATTAATTAATTATTTTAATCCTTACCTGAGGACAGTTTTACATTTTCATTATCTTGAGATGTAGAGTGGGAGGGAGAGAAGGAGGAAGAGAGAGAGAAACATCAATGTGATAGAGACACATCGAGTGGTTGCCACCCTCACGACCCCAACAGGGGCCGGGGACAGACTGCAACCGAAGTACGTGCCCTTAGCAGGAACCGAACCCGGGTCTCTCTGGTCCGTCGGGCGACGTTCTAACCGCTGAGCCAAACCGGCCAGGGCTAATTAATTTATTTTTGCTACAGATGTCTCTCCTTTTTCCCCCCTGGACACCCTCCTCCCCTGCCCCCCAACATTGTTGTCTATGTCCATTGGTTATGCATACATGCATGTAAGTTTTTTGGTTTATCTCATCCCTCCTCCCCCAGCCCCCTCCTCTGAAGTTTGTCAGTCTGAACTATACTCCTTTCTATGTCTCTGGGTCTATTTTGTTCATCAGCTTTTTTTGTTCACTATATTCTGCAAATAAGTGAGATCATGTGGTATTTGTCTTTCTCTGATTGGCTTGTGTTGCTTAGCGTAATACTCCCCAGTTCCCTCCATTTCATCTCAAAGAATAAGAGACTTTCTTTCTTCCAGCTGCATAGTATTCCACTGTGTATATGTACCACTTTTTTTTTTATTTTTAATCCTCACCCAAGGACATTTTTGTATTTATCTTCAGATAGAGCAGGAGGGAGAGAGGGAGGAAGAGAGAGAGAGAAAAACATCGATGTGAGAGAGACACATTGAGTGGTCACCACCAACACTATCCCAATCGGGGCTGGGAACAAACTGCAACTTAGGTACATGCCCTTAGTGGGAATCGAACCCAGAACTCTTTGGTTTGTGGGCAAACAGTCTAACTGCCGAAACAAACTGGCCAGGGCTGTACCACAGCTTTTTTTTCTTCTCTTGCTCATTTTTATTTATTTATTTTTTTAATTTTATTTTTGTTACAGAGTTTTCTTTTTTACCCCATTGACCCCACCTCCCCATCTTCCCCGCCACCTCCCTGGCTTTGTAGTCCATGTCCATTGGTTATGCATACATGTATATACGTTCTGTGGTTTATCTCTTCCCACCCCCCACAGACTGAGGGTTGTCAGTCTGTACCCTAATTACGTGTTTCTGGGTCTACCCTATTCCTCAGACTGTTATATTCATTATATTCCATATATAAGTGAGATCATATGGTACTTGTCTTTTTCTGCTTGGCTTGTTTCACTTAGGATAATACTTTCCAGGTCCCTCCATTGTCATCTCAAAGGATAAGAGATCTTTCTTTCTTACAGTTGCATAGTACTCCATTGTGTATATGTACCACAGCTTTTTTATCCATTCGTCTACTGATGGACATTTGGGCTGTTTCCAGATTTTAGCTATTGTAAATAGTGCTGCTATGAACATAGGGGTAATATATTCTTTCTGATTGGTGTTTCAGGCTTCTTAGAGTATATTCCTAGAAGCAGGATCACTGGGTCAAATGGAAATTCAATTTTTAATTTTTTGAGGGAACACCATATTGTTTTCCATAGTGGCTGCACCAGTCTGCATTCCCACCAGCAGTGCACTAGAGTCCCCTTTTCTCTACACCCTCACCAACACTTGTTTGATGATTTGTTGATGGCGGCCATTCTGACAAGTGTGAGGTGATACCTCATTGTTGTTTTAATTTGCATCTCTCTTATGATTAGTGATGTTGAGCATTTCTTCATATGTCTCTTAGCCATTTGTATGTCCTGTTTGGAGAGGTGTCTATTCAGCTTCTCTGCCCATTCTTTAATTTGGTTCTTTGTCTTTCTTTTGTTGAATTGTATGAGTACTCTGTATATTTTGGAAATTAACCCCTTATCTGATGTATCACTGGCAATGATGTTCTCCCATACAGTAGGTTGCCTTTCCATTTTGATGGTTGTTTCTTTTGCTGTGCAGAAGCTTTTGAGTTTGATGTAGTCCCCATGTGTTCATTTTCTCCTCTGTTTCTGTTGCCTTAGGTGATGTATCAGTGAAAATTCTGCTGCATATGATGTCTGAAATTTTGTTGCCTACATTTTCTTCTAGAATTTTTATGGATTCACGGGTCACATTTAAGTCTTTTATCCATTTTGAGTTTATTTTTGTGTATGGTGTAAGTTGATGGTCTAGTTTCATTTTTTTATATGTAGCTGTCCAATTTTCCCAGCACCATTTATTAAAGAGGCTGTCTTTACTCCAGTGTATGTTCTTGCCACCTTTGTTAAATATTAATTGAGCATATTGCCTTGCGTCCATTTCTGGGTTCTCTATTCTGTTCCACTGGTCTATATGCCTGTTCTTGTGCCAGTACCAGGCTGTTTTGATTACAGTCGCTTTGTAGTATAACCTGATATCTGGTAATGTGATCCCACCTACTTTATTCTTCTTTTTTAAAATTGCTGTTGCTATTCGGGGTCTTTTTTGGTTCCATATAAACTTTTGCAGTATTTGTTCTAGTTCTGTGAAATATGTCGTTGGTATTTTGGTGGGGATTGCATTGAATCTATAGATTGCGTTGGGTAATATGGACATTTTAATGATGTTAATTCTTCCAATCCATGAACAAGGTATGTGCTTCCACTTTTTTATATCTTCCTCTATTTCTTTTTTCAATGTCCTATAGTATTCTGTAAATAGGTCCTTTACTTCTTTGTGTACCACAGCTTTTTTATCCACTCATCTACTGATGGACATTTGGGCTGTTTCCAGATCTTAGCTATTGTAAATAGTGCTGCTATGAAATTAGGGGTACATATATTCTTTCTGATTGGTGTTTCAGTCTTCTTAGGATATATTTCTAGAAGTGGTATCACTGGGTTATATGGCAGTTCAATTCTTAATTTTTTGAGGAAATACCATATTGATTCCACAGTGGCTACACGAGTCTGCATTCCCACCAGCAGTGTACTAGAGTCCCCTTTTCTCCACACTCTTGCCAGCACTTGTTGTTGGATGATTTGTTGATGGCAGCCATTTTAGCAGGTGTGAGGTGATACCTCATTGTTGTTTTAATTTACATCTCTCTGATGATTAGTGATGTTGAGCATTTCTTCATATGTCTCATCCATTTGTATGTCCTGTTTGGAGAGGTGTCTATTTAGGTCCTCTGCCCATTTTTTAAATTGGGTTTTTTTCTTCCTTTGTTGAATTGTATGAGTATTCTATATATTTTGGAAATTAACCCCTTCTCTAATATATCATTGGCAATTATGCTCTCCCATACAGTGGGTTCCCTTTCCATTTTGAATTGTTGTTTCTTTTGCTGTGCACAAGCTTTTTAGTTTGATGTAGTCCTGTGTATGTATTTTTCCCTTTGTTTCTAAAAATGAGAACCTTTAATGAATTTTTTAAATAATATGTTTTATTGATTTGTTTTGTTTTTGTTTTTTAGAGAGAGAGGAAGGGAGAGAGAGATAGAAACATCAATGTGAGAGAGAAACATTGATCGGCTGCCTCCTGCACAGTCTCTACTGGGAATCAGGCCACAACCCAGGCATGTGCCCTGACCGGGAATCAAACCTAGACCTCTCCATGGGGCGACACTCAATCCATTGAGCCACACCAGCCAAACAAAAATGAGAACTTTTAGATCATTTTGCTGACCTGGGAAATCATGAAATTTTACTGAGACATTAAAAGAGCCATGAGGTGAAGAAGTTTGAGAACCTTTGTTCTAAACTCATCAGCTACTTAGAATGGTAGATCACATGCCTCCTAAAAATCCAGGAAAAGGAATGTTGCTCTTTCCAGCTAGTGCTCAGGGATGAAGAGCTAGATCAATAGGGATGGGAGAATCCTCTGAAGGGGGAGGGAGGGTTGGATTCTCTGCAAGAAGCCTCGCTTTTGTTTACAATCAACCTTGCTAAAGATTTGTTTGTAGATAATAGACAAATATTTTGTCACTTGTTATGTAGATCCCCTCTGAGACATTATCCCAGTGGAATCATGGACATACTATGCTAAACGAAGTGGGAAATTTCTTAATTCAAGTCAGCAATGATGAATTTGGATCATCTATTTCTAAAGAACTGAGAAGGCTGAATAAAAGATGGAGAAAGTTTGTTACAAAAACTCAGCTTGTAAGTTTTTGGATATTTTTTATTCTTTTGGTAACAGCTTCTTTGAGATCCGAAGTCACGTAGCATGCAGTTCACTCAGTTACAGTGTTTCACAGTGGTTTTTAGTACATTTAGAGCTGGGCAAGCATCACCATAATCAATTGTAGAACATTTTCATCACCTCATAAAGAAACTCTGTACCCATTAGCAGTCACTCCCCACTTTTTCCCACCCTCCCCAGCTCTAGGCAAAGGCAAATCCACTTTATGTCTCTATTTTGGACATTTCACATAATCAGGATCATATAATATGTAGTCTCTTGTTTCTGGCTTTTTTCACTTAGAATAATCTTTTCTTTCTTTTTTTTTTTTTTTAATCCTCACCCAAGGACATTTTTTGATATTTTGTTCAGACAGCACGGGAGGGAGAGAGAGAGAGAGAAACATTGACGTGAAAGGGACACATTGAGTTGTTGCCACCCGAACAACCCAGCCACGGCCGGGTACAAACTGCATCCGAGGTACATGCCCTTAGCGGAAACCGAACCCCAGTGTCTCTGGACCGCAGGTCGACATTCTAACTGCTGAGCCAAACTGGCCAGGGCAGTATAACATTTTCAAGGTTCATCCATGTTGTAGCATATATTAGTGCTTTTTCATTCCTTACTGGCAAATAATAGTCGCCTATATGAATATACCACATTTTATTTATTCATTGATCAGTTGATGCACATTTGGCTTCTTTTCGCCTTCTTGACTGTTATGAATAATGTTGCTGTGAACATTTGTGTACAAGTTTTTGTGTGGACACATAACATACAGCTTTCTAGTTGAATTTCTTTTACCATTAATGAATAAAGTTAAGTCATATATTTAAATTATGAAATTATTTTTTTCTAATTCTTAATTTGAGCCTGAGATGTTTTATGGAAAATGCTTATATTTTAAAATATATTGAATATATTATGTCCATTTACTGTTGGTAATAATATATCTTAACATAAAAAATATATAAGCATTAAATTTCATGAGATTAATTTTTTATAGGAAATGAAACTGCCACTTATAAAAAAGCAGGATCAGCCTATTTTTGACATTGCTGAATATATTCAGCCATCTAAAGAAGGAAAACCAACAACTGTTGACTCTTCAACAGATATGCCATTAGAACTTCCTGAAAATCACAATCAGAATATAAAGGTAAAATAGTCATACTTTATTCCATTTGTATACAGAAATAATTTATCTTGGCTGTTTTTCTTTTGGAGAAAACCATATTGTTGACACATGGTAAATATGATTATTAGATAATATTTAATGTATAATAATTTTCTACAAAAATGCTTAAGTGGTTCCCTTCATGAAGTAGCCTTTGAAGTCCTGGGTCCCTCGCTCAGGAGGAGGAGTTTCCCAGACATGCCAAAGCAGTCATGAGTTCTCAGTGTGGAAAGGGAGCTGATATTTTCTTCTGATGACTTCTGACTAGTGCTTAGATATTGTCTAGCTTTAGACTAAGGCTCTAGCCTATGTCTTGCTTCCTTTCTGTAAAATGGGAGGAAATGTAGTCTTTTTTTTTTTTTTTTTATCCTCACCCGAGGACATTTTTCCTTTTTTTTTTGTTGTTGTTGTTCAGGTAGAATGGGAGGGAGAGAGAGGAACAGAGAGAGAGAGAGAAACATCGATGTGAAAGGAACACATCGAGTGGCTGCCACCCGCACAACCGACCAGGGCCGGGGACAAACTGCAACCGAGGTACGTGCCCTTAGCGGGAACCGAACCCGGGTCTCTCAGGACCGCAGGCCGACGCTCCAACCGCTGAGCCAAACCGGCCAGGGCAGGAAATGTAGTCTTTATTTGTTGCTTTGTTGGGTAATTTAGAGGATAATTTTTTATTATAGATAAGAATATGGAAAAGGAACAAAAACATAAAAATAATACACAGGTATTATGCCTGTGGTTTTGGAAAGTGCCTCCTTTTTTTTTTCTCCTTTATTGATTTTAGAGAGAGAGGAGGGAGAGGGAGAGAGAGATAAAAACATTGATGAGAGAGAACATCGATTGGCTGCCTCCTGCATGCCCCCCACTGGGGGTTTGGCCCACAACCTGGGCATATGCCCTGACTGGAAATTGAACCGGCGACTTCTTCGTGCATGGGTCAACACTCAATCACTGAGCCACACCGGCTGGGTGCAGTGTGCTTCTAGAATAGGAGAATAGAGAATAGTATATTCTTCTAATACTTTTAAAATATGATCTGGTAAAAAACAGCTTTAAGAATGTATCTATCATGTAAATCTATAGCATATCAACTCACAGGATATTGAGAGATTATTAATGGGAAAAGACTTAATTGTGTTGAAATTTGATTCTGTCTGTTCTTGAGAATGTTTTGCATTCACTATTGCCAATAACTGTATTTAGATAAATTGTATACTGGTTTAGAAAAACGTGTATGGAATCAATACCCTAATTTTATAAGATTTCATTTTCTTATATATAAAATAGAGAAAATAGTAAATAGCTGATAGGAATAATACTATCATTAAGAAAATATCTGTGAATAAACCTTTTAATATTCAAAGTTATAACTCCTATCATAAAATGTTATTATCATTGACCAAAAACTAAGTTCTTAAATCATTAAAATATGTTGAATTAGCACTCTTTGGGGAAAAAAAGAAATAACTTTTTTAAATTGAAAATTATTTTATGATGTAAACATTGTCCTTAGTGATAATTTTGAATGTTGTAGGCTGGGGAAGATGGTGAAAAAGAAATTGAAGAATTCACTGGGCAACTAAAAGTAGCTGAAGAGGTCGAAAAACTCACTGGAGGAGTGGAAATCTGGGAGGCAGAAACCAAATCTGTTTTGGATCCTCTGAGACATCAAGATGATATAGATAATTCAGTGAAAGCATCTTTGCAGGTATGCACGTGAACATATTAAAAGGACAGCTTTCATGGTTGTAGACATGTATTAAGATAAATGAAAAGTTTTAGAGTAAAGAGTTACATGACTACTGTTTGAATTTTCTTAGTTGGGAGTTTTTTAAATAGCATGGATTCTCATTCCTGAATCATTTGCTGTGCTTTTGCTTGAAGACAGAGGATAGACTGGAAGATGGTTAATAATACCTTATGTGAGGCTAAGTTCTTGAATTAATTTTCCCATCTACATAGTGGAGATTAAAATATTTTCTTGTATGAGAGGGTGATGAGAAGATAAGTGAGTTCAGTATCACATAGCTCAGTGCAGTATCATACAATCTGTGCTTTCAAAGCTCATTCACTGATTAAGCCACTTTTCCTCCTTGACGCAGGGAGGGTGACGGATGTTGTTAAAAGTATTCTGTCTTCATTTTCAGGCAGGCGACTCATTGAAAAGCAATGAGGCAAGATTGTATTTTAATATCACTGAGTTCTCCTGGGAATAAAATTACAATTGTGGTTTTACTGAGTTCCAAGCTTAGCTATAAAAATCTATAGAGCATGTCATAAATTGCAACAAGATAGAAAGTTCCCGGAATAAAGGAACATTTACGTAATTCTTTTAAGCCTACATTTCTGAAATGGTGTATATATAACATTTTACGTTTTCATTGTTTATCAGAATGATACTTTTTATTTCTTTGAAATATTATATAAACTTACCTGTGCCATCTACCAGTGGTTTTCTAATTTAATTTTTATATTTATTTATTGGCTATATCTGGAGTTCATTTTAGTAAAAGAAATGACTGAGAAATGAGAAATTCAGTATTTAAAAAATATTTAAAAAACTAACAGTGAACATGCAAACATGCTAGAATATACTTCTATTAAGAAGCAATTAAGTAGATCTTTGTTGTAAAGTGAGAAATGCAGGTTGCCGAACTGTTTTTAAAAGTTGCTTTTTTATACTTTATGCTTTGATACCCGTAGAAACATTTATATAAGAGTATACAAATAACTCTGTCTTGATCCTGCATTATGCCCAGCTCTTAGCACATTTCCTGGTACATAGTAGACATAAAGTACTTTTTATTTATATTTATTTTTATCCTCACCTGAGGACATTTTTACATTTATCTTCAGACAGAGCAGGAAGGAAAGAGGAAGGAAGAGAGAGAGAGAGAGAAACACCAATGTGAGAGAGACCCATCGACTGGTTGCCACCCACATGACCCCAACCGGGGCCAGAGACAAACTGCAACCGAGGGACAAATGTGCCCTTAGCGGGAACCGAACCTGGGACTCTCTGGTCTGTGGGCCGACACTCCAACTGCTGAGCCAAACCGGCCAGGGTGATATAAAGTAGTTTTTAAATGAATGTGTGAATGGTTGATTAAATGACAGCTAAGGGAGGGATGGGGAAGAAGAGGAACTTTATCTTTATGTACTTACTTTCTGTGCTTATTCAAGTTTTTTTACATGAGCTTTTGGTACTTTTATAATTAAAAAAGGTAAAAAGTTGAAATTATAAAAGAATGGACTCATTTTAGACATTTAAATACTGCATTAAAGTATAAAGAAGAAAATAAAGATCACCATAATTCCACTGCTCTAAAATAAATGAGATCATCAAACATAGTTGATATCATACAGTACAATTTCTATTTTATTATACCCATGCCACCTTTGAGTGTAAGTAAAAAAAATTTTTTTTGCTAATTTGATAACTGAAAAGTGATACCTCATTATTTTAATGCGTACTCACTGTGTTTGTTACATGTAAGAGTCAATTATTAAATATTCATTAGCCTTTCTTTTGTGATTTCTATTTTCTGAGTTTTCTTTGGGATTTTAGTATTTTTCTTACTGAATTTATAAACTCGTTGAATCATGGCCCATTATCATTTGTGTAGCAAATATTGTTACCAAGTAGTTGACTTTTAGGTTTTTCTATTTTACATAGAAAATGTTTATGTTTATGTTGTCTGAAAAGGCTCTCCACACACAGAGCAGATCAGTTTTCACAGATAATCTCTTCTTTTTGTAGTTTTGTATTTTATATATAACTTTCTGATGTATCTGAAATTTATTTTTATATGTTGTATAAAGCATGGTTCTAAAAAAATTATTTTCCAATAGTCATTTTCTCCAGTAACATTTATCGGATTCCCTTGTGATTGATTTGACTTACAGCAACTTAATTTTAAGGTTTATTACTACTCTCTCAACTTCTTTTCTCTCTATTGGTATTGTATTACTTCTAGTCTTTTTTTTCTTAATCCGCACCCAAGGATATTTTTTCATTAATTTTTAGATAGAGTGGAAGGGAGAGAGAAGGGGGAAGAGAGAGAAAACCATTGATGTGAGAGAGCACATTGATTAGTTGCCTCCCACATGACCCCAACTATGGCCAGGAATCGAACCTGAAACCTAGGTACATGCCCTTGACAGGGAGTTGAACCTGAGACTCCTCGGTCAGTGGACCAGTGCTCTAACTGCTGAACCAAACTGGCCAGGGCTCTAGTCTTTATTTTATTGAAGTGCTCAATATATAAAGAATAATCTATGAAAGACTGTGTTTGCTTAGAATCTGAATATATAAATATAAAATTTCAAGATGAAATTTAAAAATAACATTCTTTAGAATATAAATTTGCTTCATTTTGGATTAGTAATTAACCTTTTGTGACTGTAGGTGAGATTGTTAAGGTGAATGTTTAACATATAATCAGAATGTTCATTGTGATCTCACTTTAATTTGTTTCAATAGCATCTTCTTGCCAAAGGCTCTATGTATGAAGAACTTGTGTCCAGAATAGAAGACTCTCTACAAATGGATGTACAGAGTATTTTAAGCCAGGAGTCCCTCGAACATGTTCTCACAGCTGGGCTTCAGGCAAAGATTCAAGAAGCTAAAGAGAAAGTTCAGGTCTCTCTTTAATATTCCTATTCAGTGAATTTAGTCTCTAAAACCAAGCAGTCAGTGGGAGGATGGGGAAAGGGAGGGGGGGGGGCTGCCTTGTAGTTTGGAAATTGTTTTTATCTTCACCCGAGGACATTTTCCAATATTTGGAAATGTGTATATAAGTTTTATGTTATATTTTATTTCTTTATAATTTAGAACATATTAGAAAAATATCAATTAATAAATAAGATAACACTCTTATGTCCAGTGGGAAAATGGAAGGGGCAACACAAAGAAGTATTTGTTAGCTTATGAATTTTCTCAGAAGCTGGGACAAGTGTTAAGGTGAGAATTTTTTGTCTTCACAGATCAACATGGTAAAATTAGTTGCAGTGTTGAACAACTCGAGTGATGTCTCACCAGATCTGAATGCCCGGGCGAAGGTGGAGGCATCCCTGAAGGAACTTGAATCATACATTACGAGAGCTGAGCAGGTACTTGGCCAAAGAGAGAGCCGGAGTGGACTCATTTCAAACTACAAGGTGAGACTCTTTCAACTATCAAATGTAAGGTATTTATTATTAGCCAACTATCTAATTTGAAGTCAAGATGTTTCCATTGCTGTGATTATACACAAAGTTATTGTACTTTAAATTTTTCCCCAGTTTTATACGCTGTTCCCCAGAGACTCTTAAAAATCAACATTAAAATGAAGAATTTTTAAAAATTCACTATAGTGCTCGCTTCGGCAGCGCATATACTAAAATTGGAACGATACAGAGAAGATTAGCATGGCCCCTGCGCAAGGATGACACGCAAATTCATGAAGCGTTCCATATTTTAAAAAAAAAATTCAATATACTACTGTAGATCTGCCAATAGACTCAGTGATATAGTGTAAAGAGCACAGATGACTCTGTGACATTGAACAAGAATTTTATTTCTCTGGCTTTTTTAATCAATAAAATAAAATGGGCATAATTCTAGCCCTGTCTGGCTGCCAAATGTGTTGTTAAGGCTTTCACTGAAAATCAGGCACATGAAGACACTTTGAGTAGTTACAATTTTTCAGCTATAGGGTAACATTCTTATTAAAATGATACAAGTTATTTATGGACATATGCATATTGGTAGAGACCCAATATATTTTGTATGGAGACAGTTTTAGGTTGACTTTTCATGGTTTGATAGGCAGCTTAAGATGTATCCGACTCAGAGACTCACTATTAATGAATGCAGTGGGAGGTACTTGGGGAAGGGGCGGGGATGGGAAGTACTTGGGCCATTGGAACAGTTCAGTAATAGATGTTCTTTTCTTCATTCATTATTCTAGAGTTAACACACTTCTTGAACATACATTCATTCATTCATTTATTCATTTATATCCTCACCGGAGGACATTTTTGCATTTATTTTCAGATAGAGCGGGAGGGAGAGAGAGGGGAAGAGAGAAAGAGAGAAACATCGATGTGAGAGAGACACATCGAGTGGCCGCCACCCATACAACCCCAACTGGGGCCGGGGACAAACTGCAACCGAGGCACGTGCTCCTAGCGGGAACCAAACCCGGGACTCTCTGGTCTGAAGGCCGATGCTCTAACCGCTGAGCCAAACCGGCCAGGGCCACTTCTTGAACATTTAAAATGAGCAACGCATTTTGTGGGAGAGAGAGATGAAGTAAAGCAATACAGCTCCCAGTGCTACTGCTCCCGGTTTTATTGGGGAAAGAGCACCTACTGGAGCCTCTCTCTGCCCACTGTGGCCTCCTCTGTTTTTTTCTGGGCCTCAACTCTGTGTCGGTTTTCAGGGTTGATACCCGTACTGGCCCTGTCACCGGCCTTTTCAGTGTTGCTTTTCCCACAGGCATCTCATGTGTTTATGCTTTGCTAACCACCAGCTTTGGCCAGTCCCCCGTCCTTTCCCCCCACTTTTACTCCCAGGTGGCTGAGAGTGCTGAGCTGACCTTAAATCACTGGTTCTTTTAAATGATCACCAGGCTGGATTTTAGGAGGACAGATGTGGTCTGCTCAGGAAAGAGAGAAGGAAAAGGAAAAGTAGACGCTCTGGGCCCTTCTCGACCAGAGAGAAGAGTTAGAAGGGTCAGTTCTCACCCCATTTTCCTCTTCCTGCCCACCTTCCTTTTGGAATCTGAGGCCATGGAGGTTTTTTTTTCCTCTGGCATTTAGTGAAGTTGCTCTGTTTTTATAGCAGACACAAGGATCCTGCCTCCCAGATACTCCCTGAGACCCCTGGGACTCCAGGGACACACTGGGGCAGTGGGAACCCCCACCTTCATATAGGGTTAGAATATCCCTCTGCCTCATACATACATCTAGAAATCCAGGGGCCTTAGAGAAGGTCCCTGGGGCTCAGCATTGTACCTTTTCTGCAATAGGCCTCTAATAAATATATAATGAGTATAAGGACGGATTTCTACTCTGCTTGCTTTCTCCCCAAATATTACTTTTATCTTGTTTCCTTATAGCTTTCTGCCTCTTTCACAGGCCCCAAACTATTTTTCTTCTGTCATTCTCTAGTTACCTAAGCCAGGATTCTCTTCTTATAAAGTGTTGCCAGGTAATACTCAATAAGAGCCAGCAAGACTTTTCCCTTCCCTATCCACTGCCTCTCCTTCCCCACGATGGCACTGCCAATGTGGCTGGCCCTGGGCAAACTTAGAAGTCCATGGTAAGGTGATGTTGCCTTCTTGCAGCATTAAATGCTTACATACAATGATAAATATCTGCCATACTAACCCTACTGTAAATTGTTTTTTATTGCAACACTAATCTCTAATATATGCTGGTAACCTCTTCATATTGTTTACTTAAGAAGTGTGGTCATCTGCTCAATACTGAAGAGAACTTTAGAGGAAACCTTGTCAGTGGCTCATTGCCCTGCACAATAAACCTTTTAATTATTTACCAAAGGGGTAACAAATTATTTTGAATAGCATAAGTATGAAGTCTCAAATGTGTAACTACATTTAAATAAGAAATATTCTGCAATATTTTTTCCAAAGAGATTTCAAGAAATGCAAATGGGCTATCAACCCCAATTTACAAAGAGAAGTTTCCCAAAGTCTTTAAACAGTATTCACAGAGTCCTGTTCCTAGTTCTACCTGTGAAAGATCTACTCAAATCAGCTTGGAGGACGTGGCAGTAGAACGAGGAGTTCATGTTCTTGTTTGCCTCTTTTTTTTATATGTATATATATAGGAAGCACTATTAATTTTTAATACTAAAAGTCTGGCCAAGTATTTGAAAGCTGTCGAAGAACTGAAAAATACTGTAACTGAGGATGTGAAGCTGTCTTTGGAAGAAAAGAGCAGAGATGTCTGTGCCAAGTGGGAGGTAAGGACATGTGTATGTGTCTGGGGCTTGTGCTAATACATGTGACCCTGGATCTGTTTGTCATCAGAGCCATTCTTGATTATCTCTCCCTGGAACCCCCCACCCCGACTTACAGAGGGCTGCTGGTTCTGGGTCCTGTAGCAGGTGGCTTCTGTCTGTGTTCAACCAAGGACAACACTGGAGATTATAAGGAGATTGGATGGGGGTATGGAGGTGAGGGGGGTGGGGAACAGGATAGTCCAAAGACTTTCTTGTCTTCTCTTTCTTGGCCAGCGTCTCTGGCGGCTGTGTTTCCCCTTAGCTGCAGGTTCCATGGTTCCAGCCTCTTGTTGGTGACCCTATGGCCTGGACTCCACTGAAGCTCCCAGCCCAGCGGTGGTAGTAGCTTTCTGCTGGTGCTGCTCTCTGGGTTGCTTTACTGTGCCCTCCATGGCTTTCATCTCTTATGTAATCAGTTCCCAGCATGTAATTCCCTCTGAGTTAAGTGTTTAGTGTTTTCTGGTTTCCTGGTTGGATCCTGACTGAGATAACATATTGACACTCATACCCAAAGTTTCAGCAAAATAGGTGTAGACTTTGGTGGCAGGCAGACTTGGATCCAGCGGCTGTGACCCTGGGGAAGTTGCTTAACTTCTAGGAGCTTCACTGATAACATGGGAATAATCCCACTGACTTGGCATGATTGTTGCAAGGGTTTATGTAAAGTACCTACCAGAGATTGTATTCAATAAGTGGCATTTATTACTGAATATGTCTTTTTGGGAGTATGTGTGCATGTATATATGAATATGTGGAGCGAGGGAGAGAATAAAGTAATATAATTGAATATCTACTGTTAAAGATCCTCTTAAAACACATTAAAATAAACCTTATTTAGAACAATTTTATATTTACAGAATTATTACAAAGATAGTATGAGAGTTCCAGTATACCCCATGCCCAGTTTTCCCTGTTATTAACATCTTCCATTAATATAGTACCTTTGTCACAATTAATGGACTAATATTCATATACCTTAATAACTGAGTTTACACTTTATTTGTAGTTCCACAGTTTTTCCCTAATGTGCTTTTTAAGTCTGTTCCAGAATCCCATCCAGGATACACATTATAGCATCTTGTTATTTCTGCATTGGCTTAGATGTGTGTTTTATAAATATTTTCTCCCAGTCTGCAGCTTGTCTAATTCTCGTAACAGTGTCTTTCCCAACTAAAACACATTCTAGTTATTGGAAAGGGTAAAAATATATACTTATGGGTCTGATACATTTTAAAAACATCCTTCCCAAAGACACAAGGATGAATCAGAATTGTATAAGGTCTATTTCTATCATTTGCTACAAGTATGTTTATTGTGTTTTTAATGAAAACCTTTCAGTTTGCTCCCATGGTTAATATGTGTCTTTTTGTTTACAGTCTCTTCATCATAAAATGGGTTTGTATATTCAACAACTGAAAATAGACATTGAAAAAGGAAAAATTAGTGACAATATTTCAAGACTTGAAAAACAAATAAATAAAGAAAAGAAACTAATTCGCAGAGGAAGGACCAAGGGTCTCATCAAGGAGCATGAAGTAAACCACCTGTTTTCTATTTACATTTTGTCATCATTTTGAGGTTTTCCTTAAAGGGTTGTGTTTGTCTTTGGCCTAGGATTAAATCTGCTCTGAAAATGATTTCAGCTGCTTTGTTCCCTGGGGATTATCCCTTGTGCAGTTCAAGTTCTAACTAGAGCCTACGATTCTTGCTTTCTAGAAGTGAACACAGTTTAGCACTGAGTTAATCTAATGGTTCATGGCTTCCCTTGATCTGTTTCAGTGACCCCTGTCCTTGAGTCTGGTGACAGACTGTTGCTGAAGTACCCACAGTTGCTTTTGTAAGGAGGGCTCAGTGTCCTCAGAAGTACAGCTTTTACGAAAGTTCAAATGAGGATGTTCACCAACTGGGGCAAATCTAATGGTTTCAGTCCCCATCCTGTTTGGTTGCTTCCATGTATTTGACAGTCCTAACCCCTGTTTTCATTTCTTTTTTCTTTCTTTCTTTTTTTTTAATCCTCACCCGAGGACATTTTCCCATTTTTTGTTCAGATAGAGTGGGAGAGAGAGAGAGAGAGTGAAACATCGATTGAAGGGGACACATCGAGTGGCTGTCACCCACACAACCAACCAGGGCTGGGGACAAACTGCAACCGAGATACATGCCCTTAGCAGGAACCGAACCTGGGGCTCTCTGTACCACAGGCCGACGCTCTAACCACTGAAACAAACTGGCCAGAGCTATTTTCATTTCTTGAATTCAAACTTTCTCCTGCTGTGGCTCTTCTAATGTCCATTTCTCTTGCCCTTTTCTATTTTCTTTTCTTTCTTTTTCTTTCTTTTTTTTTTTTTTTTGAGGGCTGGGCTTCTTTGAGTGTACTTCACAAATTTCCCTTTTCAAAAAATTTGAGTTATCTTACTGTTTTAGCTTTGAGAGTCCCTGCTTTTGGCTAATTTCATGATTGCTCCAGGCGATTTCATGCATTCTGGGGTTTTGGCTGCCCTCTCTACAGGGATGGCGCCTGATTCTTTTTTTTTAATCCTCACCTGAGGACATTTTTGCATTTATCTTCAGATAGAGCGGGAGGGAGAGAGGGAGGAAGAGAAAGGGAGAAACATCTATGTGAGAGAGACACATCCTAGTGGTTGCCACCCACAAGACCCCAACCAGGGCCAGGGACAAACTAACCAAGGTATGTGCCCTTAGAGGGAACCGAACCAGTGACTCTCTGGTCCGCGGGCCGATACTCTAACCACTGGGAAAGCTGGCCAGGGCTGATTCTTGATCTCACACCAAGTCCTATGCCTTGAGCTTCAGGCTCTGTCCCTAACTGAGGCACACCAGTGTTCTTTAGAGTCCTCACATTCAGCACGTCCAAACACGAACCAATATTTCCTCTCAAACGCTTCTGCCTCTTATGTACCCTGGTTTTGAAAGGCTTTGCTGTCTCAGAATCTCCTTCCTCTCCTTCCCACGGTCCCATCTGTTTCTCTTCAGAACAGCTGCTTTTCCATCCTTTCCATCAGTGTTGCCTGGGTTATTTTTTCAGCATGATGAAGGTTGCGTCATCTTCCAACCCCATCACCAGAGCGACCCCTTTGAACCACAGATCTTGTCACCAGCTCTCAGGACTTCTCCAAACTCCTTAGGAGGCCTTTCAAGTCCTTCGCCATCTGGCCCCAGCACATGCCGTCAGCCTCTCTTCTTCTCCGCCATGCCCTCCGCACACAGGACTACTGTCCTTTCAGAACATCTGGAGCTTCTCCCTTCTTGGCTGCTCCTTCCGCTAAGAATGTCCTCTCTTCCCCTGTACCCTCAGGACTCCTCACTCTGCTGTCATCTCAGGTGGTTCCCTCATGTGAGCTAGGCTTTCTCTGACTCCTTAAGGCAGATGGTAGCTCTGACCTGTCACTGCTGTAGGGAAGGAAACAGTTTCCCCTGACCCCCTCTTGGTCCCCGGTTGGGTCTGGAAATTAAACAGATAAAGGTTAACGAGGAAAGCGTACACGTTTTATTGAATTTTCACGTGTTTATGAGAGCCTCCACGAGAGATTGAAGTCCCGAAGAAGTGAGCAGAGCAGGCAGCTGATAGCTTTTAGACGACAAGAAGGAACATTAGTGTAGAATTGACGAGCAGAAGGGTTTGGGCTGGGGTGCAGACAGTGAGGAAGTGACCAGAGGACAGAGGTTAGTCTAGCAAGGGTGGTGCACACATTCTCTGGTGCCACGTCTGGGCTGAGCAGTGTTTAGCTCCAGTAAAAGGAGGCTTTAGCCCTGTCTGGTTTGGCTCAGCAGTTAGAATGTCGGCCTGCGGACCAGAGAGTCCTGGGTTCGGTTCCCACTAAGGGCACATACCTCAGTTGCAGTTTATCCCCAGCCCCGGTTAGGATCATGTGTGTGGCAACCAGTCGATATGTCTCTCTCACATGGATGTTTCTCTCTCTCTCTTCTCCCCTCTCTCACTCCCACTCTATCTAAGATAAATGCAAAAATGTCCTTGAATGAGGATAAAAAAAAGAAGCATCCTAAAAAAAGAGGAGGCTTTATTTCCCATCTCTAGGCAGAAAATGGGAAGCTTTTTCTTTGTTTACTACTTCTTCATTTTTTTTAATAACACTTTAATATTTTATTGATTTTAGAGAGGAAGGACGAGGGAGAGAGAGAGAGAAACATCGAGGTGAAACAGGAACATCAGTTGGTTGCCTCCTGTATGCACCCAACCAGGGATTGAACCCACAACCTGGTATATGCCCTGACCAGGAGTCAAACCTGCCACCTTTGGGTGTACAGGACGACACCCCAACTATCTGAGCCACACTGGCCAGGGCTGTTTACTGCTTCTTAACCGCCTTCAGCTCAAAATAATTTTCGTGTCAAAAAGGTGTATTTTGGGGTGACATATTCTGGTTTCCACATTACTGTGGCAACCCCTTCAGGGCCGACTGCCTCATCTTTGTTTCTCCGTGCCCATCACTGCACCAGGCACATGGTGGACCGGCTCACAAAGATCGTGGTGTTCAAGTCACACACATCTGGTAGTGTCTAATCCTCATGGACTAATTATGTAAACTCATTTGAAACACATTTCCTGCTTTATTTTCTCAATTAGGCCTGCTTTTCTGAGGGAGGCAGCCTGTGCCAGCTTGATCACCACATGGATGTCCTGCGGGAGCTGTGTGAAGAGCTGACTTCACAGAAGAGTCAACAAGAAGTGAGGAGGGTGCTCAAAGATTATGAACAGAAGATCGAGAGACTTAGGAAATGTGCTTCCGAGATTCACACGACACTGCAGCCCACAGTGGGAGGCACGTCGAAAAACAAGTTAGTGCCTCCTAAGAATAGCTACCGTCAGGGATAAACTAGATAAAGCCTCTTGCAAAATGAAATAACATTGAGTCTTATTATGCCTTCTCCTTCAGGCTTCATTTTTCCTCCCTCCGTTTCAATAGGCATTTGTGCTTCCTTCCTAGGGGGACCGTGAACACATCTGAGAACGGAGGGAGGAATGCCCACAGTGAGGTGCCATCTGCAAACTCCGATGATCAGACATCAACCAAAAAGGTGATCAATGTGCATAATGTATTTTATTTATTTATTTATTTATTTATTTATTTATTTATTCATTTATTTATTTATTTTTAAAGACTTAGTGGGACTTTTTATTTTTATTTTTTATTTTGGTACGTGCCTTTAGCAGGAACCAAACCTGGGACTCTCTGGTCCGTAGGCTGATGCTCCAACCACTGAGCCAAACCGGCCAGGGCTGCATAATGTATTTTTGAAGTAAACTCAATGAAAAAGGCCAAGTGTGTGATAATCCACTTCTCATTAATTAAGTGATGGTTTTAATTATCTGATAGTTCCCAGCAGCTGAGAATTCCCACTTAAATCATGCAAGGTTGCTTTTCAAAGAATTAGAATGAAGTAAAGCTATAGCGAGCATAGCAATTTTCCATTGAGGGTACAAACAGTTTTTGTTTTAAAAACAGGGATCATTTTGAACCATTGGGAATACATATTGACTGTGCATATTACTATTGAGGGTATAAGAGGTTAAGTTTTTTGTATATGTTTTTTTTGTTACTACTCATTAGAGGATGTTTTTCCATTGATTTTTTTAAGTAGAGTGGAAGGGAGGGGAGGAGGGAGGGAAAGAGAGAGAGAAACATTGATGTGAGAGAGACACATTGATTGGTTGCCTCCCACATGACCCTGACTAGACATGGGGATTGAACCTGCAACCCAGGTATGTACCCTTGACCGAGAATCAAACCTGAAATCCTTTGGTCCTCAGGCTGATGCTCTAACCACGGAGCAATACTGCCCAGGGCTCAGAGGTGAAGTTTAATCAGTACAGATGCCCCAGTGTCACTGAGATGAGCTAGTTCATTTCCCATTTGTCTTTCTCATTAAAATGTCTTTTACTCTCCTTGGGAATTGAATTTTCATTTAGAATCCTAGGTAAGTGGACATGTACTATATCACAGCCTGAATGGCCTGTCAGAAGGCATGGGAGCCCTGGCTGGTTTGGCTCAGCGGTTAGAGTGTCAGCCTATGGTCCAGAGAGGCCCGGGTTCAGTTCCCGCTAAGGGCGCGTACCTTGGTTGCAGTTTGTCCCCGGCCCTGGTTGGTCGTGCGGGTGGCAGCCACTCGATGTGTCCCTTTCACAACGATGTTTCTCTCTCTCTGTCTCCCTCTCTCTCCCTCCCACTCTATCTGAACAAAAAATGGAAAAATGTCCTCAGGTGAGGATAAAAAAAACAAAACAAAGAAGGCATGGAAAAGGAACAAGGTGTATTTGTTTTCAGACCTCTGCTTCTGTATGCTAGGCTTTTGTTTACTTTTGACGATCCCTATGTGGTCGCAGTCAGCAAGAGTATGTAGAGATTGGAGACCGCCTTGACCTGCTGACATACCAAGTAGAAGGTGAGACTCGGAGTAATAAATCTCCTCTGTGCCGTGGGAAGACCTTTCTCTGAGCTGAGAGGCCTCAAATAAATTGTATTATCTTCTGGTATGGCATATAAAGAATCAGTAATATGCTTTTGTATCAAAAAGTGTTTATCTGTTCTAGACAATTAAGTATATTGAAGATATTATGTTTACTATTTTGCATATTTGTTTAGGCAGTGGCATCAGTTGAGAATTTGAGCGTGGAACCAGAGTGGAAGCCTGAACAGGAAGAAAACGTGGAGAAGGATAAAAAGAACCACAATACATCTATAAATAGTTTACTAGAGAGGTAAACTTTTTAAAACAACTGTAGAGTCCACCAAAAATCTTTCATCAATGCAAACATGTTATACTTTATTAAATTCTTATCCTTTAATCATAATTTTTGCACGTGGTCCAGTAACTGCAACAGAAATTCCCTGGGATTTTCTTCTGCATAATTGACAGTAATTGAAATATTTTTTTGTATTATTTTTTAAATGAAGTAATGTCACATTTAATTTTTCCCAGGTATGATACACACAGAGAAACTCTTGAACTACACCTGCAAAGCAACAAATTTAGGATTACTTCTGATTTCCCTACTGATAGGGAAAGGAGCAGTACTTGTCTGCAGGATAAACTGAAAGAGCTACAGGTAATTATTGAAAACATTATTAGAGTTTATCTTTTATTAGAAAGTAATACCACCATGAAGTGCTGATTTCAACACTTTTGTTGAGGTCCCATATGCTAGATGTTTCCACGAACTTAGTCGGATTGCATGTCTAATGACACCTGATTCCAGAAAGAGATTTGCACCCAGGAAAGACTTTGGTTCAGGGTCCTAATTTATTGCTCATCCTCTAATCTGATACACTGGATATTGTGGCTCGCAAAACTTTGGATTGTGCTTGGGAAGGGAATGAGGGCTTCAGGTGACTTGGTCAAAACAATGTGGTCGAAGGCAATTCTAACCAACACTGCTTGCTTTAAAATTAAAAACCAGTGACTCCAGCCCTGGTGGGCTTGGCTCAGCGGTAAGAGCGTCGGCCTGCAGTCCAGAGAGACCTGGGTTTGGTTCCTGTTAAGGGCGCGTACCTCGGTTGCAGTTTGTCCCCGGCCCTGGTTGGTCGTGCGGGTGGCAGCCACTTGATGTGTCCCTTTCACGTCGATGTTTCTCTCTCTCTCTCTCCCCCTCCCACTCTCTATCTAAACAAAAAATGGAAAAATGTCCTCGAGTGACGATAAAAACAAAAACAAAAACAAAAAACCAGTGACTCCAACTATTTTCCAGTTGTTCTTCATCTTAACCAAATTGTCACAATGTCTATCTGATGCTATTGAACAATAAAGACGTGGCAGGCACTGGTGGGAGTTTTCACTCTAAGTGATGGATGGTCTTCCTGGACAGCATCCGAGGAAGTAGTGCATTTGATTCAAGAGCTACGGGAAACACAGTCCAGCTAGTGCATCAATTGTACATTTCACAAATAAAAGTCTTCCTTATTTTGAAGATTATCTGTGCATTGCAACGCAACACTTGTATGTTTGGAAGTGCCTTAGAGTGAACCCTCACAGAAAACCCATCAGGCAGAGAAAGCACTGTGGTGGGTGGGTCCTCGAATACCCTCCCATATTTTCTAGTTTCTTTCTTCCTTTTATGATGCCATTTCCGGAGTCAACCTCTGCAGATTGGCTCTGCTCTATTTTCTCTCTGAATAAGAAAAATTTATATGTTAAAATCTGTTGTTCAAATGATGGATTTAACATGTTTTCAACACAATTAAAAAACTGTCTTAAGACCTTACTCCAGGGACTGAATAATGAGTTGGTTAGAAAAGCTATACTAATCCTTGGGGAAAGTGAAGAACAAATTATACTGGTGAGTCTGCATTAAAATCTGTAGTAATGCCTTTTTTTTTTTTTTTTCTCAAGAATCAATATAAGGTGCTGAAATGGTATAGCATTTTTAGTTGTTTACCTATAAATCATAAATAAATTTTATTCACTTCTCGTTTGTTGGAAATAATTTGGTTCACTCCAATTTTCTATTAGTTTAGGGAGAAACAAAGATTTATTATCCAGAGAAAATAGAATGTCTATTCTCACAACTGTATGTGTCTTTCTGAATTGTATTCTGTGCACCCAAATTAGGGGAAGGAAGTTTGGATTTGGATGAAAGCCATATGGTTGACTCCCTGGACTTCATTAAAAGGGTCCTCTGACAGCACAGTTAGTGTCATTGTTCCCTGATAGATCCTTTACTTACTGATGGTTGGAAAATATTTTTTTAATGTATTTTTGTGTGAAATTTTGTGCCCACAGTTGGTGGCTGTCTCATTTTGTAAGAACAGAATAATTGTGTCTATTAACCTGTAAGTTGATAAATAAATTTATGTGTTTCATCTAGGTCTTAAAAGATGAAACTGACGCTTGCTGGAAAGAGTTTGAAATCACGTCATTGCAGTTAGAAGAGCTTGAAAGTGACATAAAGAAGCCTTTTCTGATTAAAGCAAGAGACAGATTAAAGGGAAAAGAAAGAGAGTTTCAGATGACTCTTAATACCAGGTATAATTCTGAGATCTATTAATAATGAATTTACTATATTAAAAATTTTTTGTTTGTTTGTTTTTGTTGATTTTTAGAAGAAAGAGGAAGGGGGAGGGAGCGATAGATAGAAACATCAATGAGAGAGAAACATTGGTTGTCTGCCTCCTCCATGCCCCGTACTGGGAATGGAGCCAAAACGCAAGCACATGTCCTGACCGGGAATCAAACCAGTGACCTCTCGGTGCACAGGTTGACACACGACCACTGAGCCACACCAACTGGGAAAATTTACTAAATTTTTAAATGCCATTTTAAGCTAGGCTAGTACTATGCTAGTATGTTACTTTATTTAGCTGTCACAACAACCCTAAGAGAAGCTGTCATTATGATTGCCATCTTACTGATGAGCAAACTGAGAGGGTGTTAAAAGAATCTAACCAAGCCACACCACTGGCCAGAGACTTACATGGAATTTAAAGTCTGTTGAGCCGGGCCAGTGTGGCTCAGTGGATTGAGCGATGTCCCATGGATTGAGACATCCTGGTTCAATTCTCAGTCAAGTCACATGCCCGGGTTGAGGGCTCGATCCCTAGTGTGGGGTATGTAGGAGGCAGCTGATCGATGTGTCTCTCTCACATCCATGTTTCTATCTCTCTCCCTTCCTCTCTCTCTAAAAAATCAACAAGAAACATATTTTTTTTAAAAAAGAATGCTTGTATAGGAAACAACTCATTCTTTGGCATTTTGGATCACTGGGTTTGGGATTTAATGTGATGATCTGTACATATCATTGTATGTGTTTTTATCAGACAATTATTTTCTGTTCTTGGTTAAGTAATGGCGCTTAGGTGTATTGTAGGGTATCTTTCTGCTGTTTTTCCCTCACATCTGGTTTATTTTTCACCTAGAATGAAGTCTTTGGAGACAGCGCTACAGATTGTGTTACCTGTGGAGAAGGAATCGCTCCTTCTCTGTGGCTTAGACCTGCTTCTCCATAAAGTGGCTGTTCAAGAGTTTCACCTTACTGATGCTGATGGCATTTGTCAAAACCTGAGGGTAGATATACGTCCTCACAGTATATTCATAGAATAATCAATTCCTTGGAGATTTATACATGTTTATGCATTTTTAATTATATGTCAGCATGTATTTAGAATATAAGCCATGACAGAAAAATCTTCAGTAATTTAGACTTGTTATTTATTTCTCAACTCTTTAATTCCTTTCAAATTTGAAAGTAGGTACTGTGTAGTATATAACAAGGTATTTTCTTTGAATTAAAAATGAATGGTTCTGCCCTGGTCGGTTTGGCTCAGCGGTTTAGAGCCTCGGCCGGTGGACCAGAGTGTCCCCAGTTCGGTTCCCACTAAGGGCACATACTTTGGTTGCAGTTTGTCCCCGGCCCCGGTTGGGGTCATGTGGGTGGCAACCACTCGATGTGTCTCTCTCACATCGATGTTTCTGTCTCTCTCTTTTTCTCCTTCTCTCCCTCCCGCTCTGTCTGAAGATAAATGCAAAAATGTCCTTGGGCGAGGATAAAAAACAAAAACAAAATGAATGGTTCCTGCCTTGGCTGGTGTGGCTCAGTAGTAGAGTGTTGCCTGTGAACCAAAAGGTCATGGGTTTGATTCCCAGTCAAAGGGCACATACCTGTGTTGCAGGGTTGATCCCTGGCCAGGGTTGCCTCCCTGGCGCATGTGGGAGGCAACGAATCAATGTGTCTCTCTCACATTGATATTTCTCTCTTTATGTCCCCCCCCATTCACTCTCTCTCTAAAAAAAAAGTGGAAAAAAATATCCTCCAGTGAGGATTACCCCAAAAAACCCCCCCAAAACCAGCAAGAACAAAAATGAAGGATTCCTCATGAATGCCTTCTCCAATGACTGAAATTTTAAATATCATGCTAGACTTGTATGCTTATATGGGCATATTCCACAGGTTACTTATTCCAAATCCCATCATAAATAAAAAATAGTTAAGTTTTATTTTTCCGATTATAAAGAGATATCTCAACAGTCCAATCTCTAATTATTTTCACTGAAACAATAGATTTATGTACTTGTTTTCTTTTGGGGATTGAAACCTCAGGAAGAAGGCTATCAGATGATAAAGTTCCTGGACCATCTGGTCATTTATAATTAAAATGTTGAAATTGTCAGCCTTGGTTTAGCTGAAAAGCAGTTTTCTAGATTAAATCTAGTTATATAACTTGAGATTAGTTTCTGCCATGCATTCTTTCTTTTTTTCTAGCTCAGTCTTTTCAGCTTTTCTTACCTTAATTTTAGGATATCCAAGATTCCATAGCAAAACAGATAGACATATGTAACAATTTGGAGCGGTCAGGCAACTCTGCATTGAAGAAGAACTTGCACCCACCTGATCTACATGCAATGGAGACCATTGTCCTGAAACACAGATCACAGCTCGAGGAAATGGACTGCAGGATCCAGAGCAGTAAAGATGCCCTCAGGGCTCTGGACGAGTTTTTGGCTTCTCTGCGAACAGCTGCACTCCCTGTCCAGCTTGGTACAGACCCTGCAGCCCCAGATGCACAGGGGGTACCAGGAAATACTTCGACAGTAACAAATAAAGAGGGAGGAATTTACCTGATGAAAGAAAAGGCCAGACATTTGGATAAACGTTTGAAGATGCTTGATATAAGCTTTAAAGATGCTGAACGGGATGAAGACACGTCCTGTGAAAAACTTCTTGGTGCTCTGTTCAAACCTTTACTTGAGACACGTGGCTCTGGTGGACAGGAAGAATTCACTGAAGAAGACAAATTACTAGAGACTTGTATTTTCAAAAATAGTGAACTCCTGAAGAATATTCTAGATGTGCACAGTCAAATCGGTAAAATTGGTCTGAAGGACCCGACTGTTCCAGCTGTAAAACAACGGTAAGTAGTGTTTCCATCAATCTCCATCCAAGGTGACGCTTCTCTGTGTTTTCAAATATCTGTTAGATGAAACAGATAGGTCCTGTCTTTCTGTTTCTGTTCCATTCCTCTCTGCTCTGCATTCTTTTCTGTAGACTTTTTAGACAGGCTTCCTTCTTGTTGATATTGTTCCTCTACAGAATGTTATATAATTCTTCTTTAAAGTTTTCATTCTCATGGACAAAGGGAACTAGGATATGGATAAAGCACAGGAGTTGCTTCAGTGTTGCTTTAGTGCTGTGTATTTATCATGGTGCTCTCTTGACAGGGGAAGGCCTGGGCCTCTCCGCATTTGCTAATGAAGAAACAAGTGGAGCAGGTGCACCTGCCTCACCTCGTCCCTACGACTTCCTTTGTTATTTGAGTTCACCCTTCCTTCCATCAGGATTAGGGTGGGGAGTGAGTGGGAGGGCATGGGATTGAGGTAAACTGTTGATTTTAGAGACAGCAGAATTGGGGTAAACTAAGGTTAGCAGCCTTTGACATGAGTGCTGCTACTTTAATTCTGCCATTTAGAGCCAGCTCTCTGTCCTGATAATGACAATGTTAGGAAGAGTCACTTTGGTGGAGCTCCCCTCCCTCAGTAAATCTCTCCCACTTTCTGTCTCCTCCGCTTATCTCTAGTCCTTCAGGTTCAATGCTCTCTGGAGGCTCTTCCCTCTGCGATGTCCCTGTGACCCAGTCTCCACGAGACTTCCATTCCTACAGAGCCCCGGTTCTTCAGGAGCTGTTGAATTAAATACTGAGTTATTAATTCATTGTTGATAGATGTTTATATTAGATTTAGAAAGATTAAGTACATAAATATTAATCTATAAATGAAAACTATACATTTATAAATGATAAATTTCTTTCATTTTATGTAGCAGTTAACAAAATAGATAAAAATTTTTGCCCCTCAGCGCTTATTTATTTATTATTTTTAATCCTCACCTGAAGACATGCCTTTATTGATTTGAGAGAGAGAGAGAGAGAAACATCAATCGGTTGCCTCTCGCATGTACCCTATCTGGAGATTGGAGTTGGCATTAACTGAAGTGAGAGAGACTGAATTCAGTTGATCAGGTATTGAATGAAAGATCAGGTGTGCTCAGTTCTAGAAATGATAGATTCAAAATACGTGTTCGACTTTCAAGTATGGATATCAGTACAACTTAAAAATAGATGGCGTCAGGAGCCGGGAGAGAGGTGGGTTACAGTTACACATTTGAGAGTTGCTGGCATTTTGGAATGCTATTTAAAGCCACGAGTAACGTGAGTTCTGACAGACAAGTGAAGAGGTCAGTGTTGTCACTGGGAGCAGAGGGGGGCGTGGGAGATGAGGAGGGACAAGCCAGAGATGCTGAAGAGTGGTTGGGGTAGTAGAAGGAAAATCAAGAGTCCTGGAAGCCCAGCCAGAAGGCCTTTCAGCAAAGAGGATGTAAGCAACTGTGTCAAATGCTGCTGATGAGTGAAGGAAGAAGATTGAGACTGGAACGTGGATTCAGCAAAGTGCTGGTCACTGGAGGCCATGATGAGCAGTGTTCCGAAGAGCCTTAGGGAGTGAAAGCCTAATGGGAGTGGATTCAAGAGAAATCAGAAAAGCAGAAGTAGAGACAGGGAGAGTCTGATAAAAGCAATTTAGACCTCTGTGAATGGAGTTGATTCCTCCAGGATTAGCTTGCACATGAACACTCTTAGCTCATATGACTCTTTGTCTTGATATGGGAGAACTTTTTGTACACAGGGTAGGCATACCAGTTTTCCCTGCCTCCTTGGACCCCGCACCCCTCCTCAGAGCCTGTAGTGCTCTACCGTTTATCTCCTCTCCACACCGTGCTCTTGTTGACACACTCGTTTACACACACATACTCTTTCTCTTTCTCCTCACATGCATCTGCACCCCCTTTACAAGTGTGTTCACCACAGAAAAATGTTACTGTTTTTGGTTGTGTGTACTTAATTTAATAAAGCACCATATTAGTATTCTGGAAATGCAAAGAGCCTCCTGCACTCTGTAATAGAAATGTGTAATTTTTGTCTTCATAAACCTCAGGAGGACCAAGTACAGTTGGTGTGCTCCCCAAATTCCCCGTATTTGTATCACATCACATTGGCTAATGGTTGACTATAATCTTTTCTCTTTCATAATCAAGGAAAAAATCACTAATCAGACTGGATAAGGACCTAGATGACTATGAACAAGAGAAGAAACACTTGCAAGAAATGGTCAGTTCCCTCCCACAGTTCAAAGATGGCAGAGAAACAACTCTGAAGAAGCAGTGCCAGGATACAGCCCTCTTGTGGGAGAACACAAAAGTTTGCATCATTGAATGGTAAGGACAAAAATCCCTCCTAAATCTGCAAAACGATGTGTAGCACAATTAAAACACTTTCCCGAGGACCTGGTGGAGGAGTAGACCGGAGTTTCACATTGGAAGCTCACGGGGCCAGTCTGGGTAGACCTGGAATCACAGATGTGGCTTGAATGCATTGGTTATCTCAGAAGGATAACAAGCACAATTCGCTTTCTATTGCTGCTGTAACCGGTTACCATAAATGTAGTGGCTTGAAACATCACAGACTTAGATTACAGTTCAGAGGTCAGAAATCCCAAAACAAACTTTGTTTATTTCTGGAGACTCCAGGAGCGAATACCTTTCCTTGCCTTTCTGTCATTTGGAGACCTCTTTCTACAGTTCGTGGCTGGTGTCTCTTTCTTCCATCTTTAAAACCAGCTGTTTGGCATCTTCTCATTTCCTTCTCCCTGCCTCCTTCTCCTCTGCTTCTCTTGTCACATTGTCCTCTCTGACCCTCCTGTCTCGCAGCAATAAGGGCCCTTCTGATTATAGTTTGCCCACTTGGACAATTCAGGATAATGTCCCATTTTAAGACCCTTAACATAAGCACATCTGCAGAGTCCCTTTTGCCATGTCAGGGAACATAGTCATAGGATCCAGGGATTAGGATATCAACGTAAGAAACATTCAGACCTGTGAAGAATTTTTGTGAGTTTATTTGAACCCAAACTGTCAACAGTTGTTGGGAAGCAAAACCTCAACGGATTGAAATAATGTTCCAGAGAATGGCAGTTTTGCGCCTTATTTTATGCATTACAGTCAAAAGAGGAGACATAAGTGGGTTACATGAAATCCATGGTGATAGATTAGGTTGAAGGCAAAGGGGGAGGGGGCTCTGGGATTAGATAAAAAGTAAAACTGATAGACACATGCTGCTTTTGCATAGGTGGGTACAGGGTAGTTAACAGTCAACAGTTAACATGATAATAATGAGGGGAGCCCTGGCTGGTTTGGCTCAGCGGTTGGAGCATCAGCCTGCAGACCAGAGAGTCCCAGGTTTGGTTCCCACTAGGGGCACGTAATTAATAAAATCACTATTGTAAATAATAATAAAGTGAGATTTGTGGTCTTTGCCCTGGTGCATAGGTCGTGCCCTGAGGGGTCTGGAAAAAGGAAGTTAGCCTGACATGCCAAAGGTGTGTTATCATAGATGCAAAAAGACAATAGGCTCACTTAAGGTGAAAGTTGACCTTTGTCAGGGAAAATACCAGTCTATCACATGACTACCTGCCTTAACCTGCTTTTAGTTAAAAAGTTTTAATTTTAGGCCATCTTTTGTGGCTATTTTAGGTCTTTGAGTTTGCAAGGCTGCTAAACAGGCCTCCTGAGCTTGTCAGGTTAGCATGTGGCCCCTTTTCGTCCACAAGGACATGGACATCTTTGGGGGTTGGGGCATTATTCTACCACACCACCTTTCTTGAATGGCAGGTGTTTGTTGCCTGTCAGTTGCCACCATCTCTCCTGTAGAGCTAAGGCGAGACTTCCTGTGTGACGGCCCTTACCTACAGTCCCAGGTGGCAATTCTGCTGAACCTTGCCTTCCACGCCTTCTCCCCCTTACTCTCTGCCTGGGGGTGGGAGTGGTCAGGACCGATCCCTATCCCTGTACCGTCCAGGCCAGGGGTTCCACTTGGGCCAAGAAGCGGGAGGTGTTAGATCACCAAGGGAGGAACGCACGAGGCCAAAGTGATGCTGGACTAGAATTTTATTTGGGGCATCTGCCTAGCAGGCAGGCTCAGTCCAAACAGGCGTCAGCCCTGAACTGGCCGGGGCTTGCCATTTATGTGGAGTTTTTTGGGCAGGCTCTTTTGGTGGGCTCCTCAGCTGTTTCAGGAACAAAGACCTGGCAAACAGGTTATAGGTTGCTCATCCGTAACTGCAAAGGGTCTGGTTTCCATACCAGTGGCGGGGGGGATGTGGGGGGGTGGCGAGGTGGAACAAACAGAATGTTCTGATGAGCAAACACAATGAAAGGCCATATCTACAGAGACACCCCCATGGTGTGGTGCTCTCTGGCCTAACAGCAGGTTCTAGTAGATTAGAGGACAAGAAGAGAGAGGTCAGGGTGATCTTAACTGTCTCACGCCCTATTCAGCATGTGGTTCAGCAGCTCCTACTGGATCCCCCTCTTTGACTCATTCCCTCTTTCCCCTGAGGCCAAGTGGCAGATCAATAAAAAGCTACGGCTGCTGTTAGTCCCTCAGCTCTCTGGTGATTTCCCCGAACTCTGCTGTCAGTCAGTGGTCTTCTCACCTTGGAACTCCCTCTGCGTACACTTTTCCCTGGGACCTGAGTGTATAGTAGTCAGGATAAAGCCTGTCTGTGGTGTTTGATCTAGTCTACCCTTCGATTTTACAGAGGAAAGAATTGAGGTTCTGAGACCTCAAGTCACTTATCCGAGGTGTCCTGACTGACCCATAATCTGTACTGTACTTTTTAAAATGAACTAAATCTAGAATGAGTTAAATAGACATAAACAACTTGTGACTTGCTTGGAGATTGAAATAATCTCCAAAAATGATTCTAGGGAGGCAGTTTTCCAGGATGTCTCTTGGTTAAGGATGGAATTGAAATGCTGATTCCTTAAGATTATGGATCGTGTGTTTCTTTCTGGAGCATACATCTGGCGACTTCTTAATATTGATCAGGTGGAAATACTAACCCAGTGGTTATCTTAACCATCCACCTGCCAGCTAAATCTATGTGCCATAGTTCTTAGGTTAAATTGGTAAAACTATTATAACGCTTCAAGAAGAAAACTTTCTATCACTTACTTATTAGTCATTATTGTAGGATAGTTAGAAAGAGAAAGAATGGCTTTGTTATTTTCAGACATTTAGCTGTTTTACTTTTTTTTTTTTTTATAGCCTTGACCAGTGTGAAAGAGTTTTGGAGCTCTTAAAGCAGTATCAGAATTTTAAAAGCGTCTTGACAACTTTGATTCAAAAGGAAGAGAATATCATCTCCCTTCAGGCTTCGTACATGGGGAAGGAGAACCTGAAGAAAAGGATAGCAAAGGTGAGTCCGAACTCCAGAGGGAACTCTGCACGGCCTTGCTCACAGCCTGGCGATAAGGAGGATGTCATAAATGGAGACATTTTCAAAACTTTGTTTAAAAGAAGTTACCAGTGACTCTGTTTTACCAAATAGCTAAGAATTTATTGAGCACATCAGCAGAGCTTAGAACAAAAGAGCCCCCAGTGGATGCTGGGTCACTTCTGTTTGGGTTTGAGACGGGCTGAGAGGCTGTGTGGTTCTGTTGAGTCTGGGGTGGCCCCTGCTCTCTGTCTGTGAGGTGGTACAGTCTGTGTGTGCACTGACCTTCTGCCGGAAGGAACCTGGGGTGTCACTGACCTTCTGCCAGAAGGAACCTGGGGTGTCCCTGCAGTCTTGAGGGAATGAAGGTGGTGGGAAAATCCCCTGTTGTTAGTGGACAAAGGAAAAATTACGACTTTATGAATTCGCTTTCTGCAGAGGTGGGTGAGCTGACCTCCAGATTGTTCTGTCTTTGTTCACAGCCTCACCGATCACAACTACATAGTCTAAGACGAATAACATTTTTGGACACTAGGTGTCATTATTTTCTATGATTTCATGTGGCTGTCAGTCAGAGTGTCAGAAAGTGAGATAGTTAGAAAAGAGTACGCTACACTGTGCAGTCATTCACCAGAGCGCTGTTTGCCTGTTGGTTATGAGCGCGATGCCACAGTCCCGGCAGACGGTCAGAGCACCTGTGAAACTTCGTCTACTTGACTCAGCTGGTTGTTAGAAAGCAGTTTTATTGAACTTCCCAGTTGCTGAGAGTAACATCAGTAGAAGCTTACATAGACCAGGTTCTTGCAGACAATTTATTCCTGTCCCTGAAGCTGCCATGACACAGATGAGGAATAGCTCGTCAGGGACCCACCTTCTCAAACTAATTTCTTGAAACTGACCAATCAAAAAGAGGCTTGTTTAGATACTAGTTTCCTATGAGACTGAATTGAGAGAGGCCACCAAGACCATGAGTAGACAGTCAGTTGGAGTTGCTCAGATGCAACCTGTCTGGTGCTGTCCAGCAAAGATAGCTACTGGGTGTCGTGGTCTCAGAGTCTAGGAGGATTCTGTCCTCCTTCCAGGGGCTTTAAGGAGCTGTGGTTCCCTTGGTTCTCAGAAAATCCAGCTTGATCAGCTGTTCAGGATCCTCAACCTTGTGTTCCAGTCCATGCAGTTACTCTTCTGTGCCTCTGATACCAGTTTCCTACCTGGTACTCCTGTTTCAGAATCAGGGTTTCTGTCTTAGTCACAGACCCTCAGTCCCTGCCTTGTGTCCTGACCAGGCGTATCCAGCCCCTCTTGCTTGCAGCAGTTCTTGTTTGAGCTAATTAATCCTCCTTTGTCTTCAAGTCCTATCTTTGTCCTATTAAATGGGATCCTGTTGTCAGCAAAAACTCTGTCTGTCCTGTTTGGCGAGGTAGCACAGGAAACGTGCTGAGCAGAGTGCTGGGACTTAACCTCTTACTGAGGGCCAGTCATGATGCCCCTCTGTGTGTGCGTTATAGGGGAGGAAAAACTTTCCTCTGCCCTCAAGGGTTTTTTCAGCTGATCTGATCAAACCGACATGAGACACAGTTGTAAGAGAAAAATAACACATTTGATACATCTGTTTGGGAACCCTGCCTACCTGAGACAGTCAGCGATCCCACAAGCGTGAGAGGTTCAGAGTCAAAAAGGGAAAATAGGTCCATAGGACATTCTGGGCTAGGGATGGGGCAGGTGCCTTGGGGACTTTAAAGGGTTATTGCAAGATGATAAGTAGAAAAGACATTCACTAAACAGAAGTTTACTCTGCCCAGTAGATAGGTCAAAAGAGGTCATTGTTGATAATCTCTTTCTATGGGCAGGCCCCTAATTCAAGTTTATGTAGATAGTTAAGGGAGGGACAGATGTTTTTCTTGAGTCCCTCCACTAAAGTTGACTTTAGCTCAAAATAATCCACATGCCACAGAGGCACACTTGGGGTGACTCATTCTAAACCCCCATATGGCCTATCTGCAGTTGTCAGTGCTCCCTCTTCTCAGGCGCATGAACATTCCTCCCACCACCGGTAACTATATAACCAGCCCTGTAACTGTAAACTGTATGCTTTCCGATCAGTAAAACTTCCTTCCATCACCTTCAGGCAGGCGGCCCCTCTCCTGGGTGGACTCCCTAGTGAAAATCTAAGTCCAGATATTGACCTTTCTGCCATCATTAGTGCCTCTGTGGCTGTCGTCTCTGTTTGTTTGTGCTTTTGTAACAAAAATACCATAGACTGAGGGGCTTATAAACAACAGAAATTTATTTCTCACTGTTATGGAGACAGTTCTCACTGTTTATAAGATTCTGCTGTTGAATCGCCCCTCCCCCCCCCATTTGTGTTCTTACATGAGAAGTATATTCATTCCATCCCATCAGTCCCCAAAGTCTTAACCCGCTCCATCATCAATTCTAAAATCTAAGTCCAAAGTCTCATCTGCAAATCATCTAAATCAGATGTGGTTGAGACTCAAGGTACATTTCATCCTGAGGGGAGCTTCTCTCCGACTGTGAACCCATGAAACCAAACAAATTAGGAAAGAAGAAAGAGGTGGTGGGTCCCAGGTAAGACCAAAACCTAACAAGGCAAACAACATTAAACCTTAAGGCTTGAGAACAATCCCTTTTAGCCTGATGCTCTGCCTCTAGGCCCACTGGGATGGCCACATCACCTTCTTGGCTTGACTGGATGACCACCGCCCCCAGTGGCTCTCCAAAGGAGTCCCTGCAGCTCTCCTGGTCTGAGGTCCTACACCCTCAGTGACCCTGGCCTGAGGTCACACACTTGTGGCTGTCTTCTCCCTGTGTCCTCACATGGTGGAAAGGTCAAGATAATTCTCTGGAATCTCTTTTATAAGAGCACTAATCCTGTTCATGAGCACCCCACCCTCATGGCTTAATTATTTCCCAAAGGCTTCACCTCCTAATACCATTACATTGGGAATTAGGATAAGAGCTTCTTAGAGTTTTTTATTAAATAATATTTAAACTTGTGGCTTGTTGTTTTAACCATTGATGAATCAAAGAATGAGGGCTTTTACTAAGTTATTTCTATATTTAGTATGATTTCATGTATGTTAATATTTAGTAATAATATCATTCACTTAAACATGCCATCATAGATGGAAGTGACTACTAAAATCAATTTTAGTCCAGCTGATGTGGCTCAGTGGATTGAGCATCGCCCCATGGACTGAGAGGTCCTGGTTCAATTCCTGATCAGGGCACGTGCCCAGGTTGTGGGCTCAATCCCCAGTAGGTGCCATGTAGAAGGTAGCCAATGGATGTTTCTATCTCTCTGTCCCTTCCTCTCTCTCTAAAAAGTCAATAAAAACAAATTTAAAAAATCAATTTAAATTTTTTTTATTTTTTAAAAATAACTTTTTTGCCTTTTGAGAGTCAATGAAATGAGCACTCAACATTGCTGATGAAAGCGTGTATTGATACTTCCCTTTTGGAAAACACTTTGACAATGTTATTGAATAACCTTGAATATCTTTCTACCATTTGAGAAAATATATTCTAGGAATCTATCTTTAGGATAAAATATATATATTTTTTAACTTTTTTTTTTTTAAATGTTCTTATTGATTTTTCTTTATTTATTTATTTTATTTTTAGTTTTTTAATCCTCACCCGAGGACATTTTTCCATTTTTTTGTTCAGATAGAGTGGGAGGGAGAGAGAGGAAGAGAAAGAGAGAGAAACATCGATGTGAAAGGGACACATCGAGTGGCTGCCACCTGCACGACCAACCAGGGCTGGGGACAAACTGCACCTGAGGTACATGCCCTTAGCAGGAACCGAACCCAGGTCCCTCTGGACCGCATGCCAATGCTCTAACCACTGAGCCAAACAGGCCAGGGCCTTTAGGATAAAATCTTAAAGATATAAAATTCTTAATGTCAAAAATAGTCATTGTAGCACTTTACAAATTTACTAATTTCCTTCTTTCTTTAGTGGTCTAACCATATAGCCTTCTGCTCCAATAAATGACTTGCCCCAGAAGCTGAAAAAAAAAATTGAAATCAGAAAAATTGTTTTATCTACAAACAGGATTATCATGTAGGCTTTGCACTTTTAAGTTGTACTACTACTTAATAATAAAAATATTAGCCCTGGCCCTGGCCAGTTTGGCTCAGCGGTTAGAGCATCAGCCTGCGGTCCCAAGAGACCTGGGTTCAGTTCCCGCTAAGGGCATGTACCTTGGTTGCAGTTTGTCCCCGGCCCTGGTCGGTCGTGCGGGTGGCAGCCACTCGATGTGTCCCTTTCACATCGATGTTTCTCTCTCTCTCTCTCTCTCTCTCTCTCTCTCTCTCTTCCTCTCTCGCTCTCCCACTCTACCTGAACAAAAAATGTCCTCGGGTGAGGATAAAAAAAAAAAAAAAAAAAATTAGCCCTGTCCGGTTTGGCTCAGTGGTTAGAGCGTCGGCCTGCGGTCCAGAGAGACCCGGGTTTGGTTCCCACTAAGGGCATGTACCTCGGTTGTAGTTTGTCCCCGGCCCTGGTTGGGGTCATGTGGGTGGCAACTACTCGATATGTCTCTCGCACATTGATGTTTCTCTCTCTCTCTTTCTCTCTCTCCCTCCCTCCCTCCCTCCCTCCTGTTCTGTCTCAAGATAAATGCAGAAAACATGTCCTCTGATAAGGATTAAAAAAAAAAGATACTGATGATAGTGATAACTTTAACCATTGATGCCTTGATTGTTGTGTGCCAAGTACTTTGCATATCATTTCATCCTCACGATAACCCTGTAAACTACGTATAACAAAACAACAAGTTATCCTTGTTATACTGGTGAGAAAACCAAGGCTTAGAAAGCTTGGGAAGTAACTGTAGCTGGTTTAATGTTAATAAAATGGTGTTATGAAAAGAAGAAAGAATTTTCAACCCTGACTCTCCAGTTTTCATAATTTGTTGTGGGACTGTCAAGGGATACATATAATAAAAAAAATTTTTT